CAATTGGACTCCGGGATCTTGTGTTTTAACATCCGGCGACTTCTTTCTTTGGCGTCACGTGAAATACGAGTGGCCGCACCTAAACGATAGAGCGGACTCAATTTGCTGCGACTAAATTTAATTAATTAAATGATTACATTTATGGCTGAAAAGTAATGAGTTTATAACTTTCCCAATGCAGTTCAATTTACTGTTTGGCTGCGGTACACTAAACCCTAAAAACGTTCATATATGTAGGTACATCATACATACATACCCTCTGTCTATATACATATGTATATGTATACATGAGGCTAATCAAATTATAAAAATGTTAATTTAAATACTCAAATTACAAACTCATGAGCATTTCGGTTTCCTTCTAATTTGCCAATTTGCACTGCAGTGAGCTTTAAAAGTGGCTACAAAGCTTAGTTTATTGCAAACGATGATACTGATATATCTACATAAATGAGACAAATAAAATGGATAAAATTGTTTTTTTTTTTTAAGAGAGTTTATATCAATACAAAATTTGTAAGCAGTAAAACACATAAATAAAGGTAAAGGTACATGGAAAGTTCAAATAATACTACATTTTTTATTTGTTTATGAGCCCAGCGGGTCTCATCTGCCGACCGAAGGGTGACTCTGGAGAAATGTTATATGAAGAGAAACATACAATATATGGCTAACCAAGAGCCAAGCATATTCGGAAGTGTTCTACCTTCGAAACCCGTCGTGATAGAATTAGAAAAGCTACAGCGCTGCTCATCTTACTTACCTTACTTACCCTTAGTATTTCCATAAGAGCCAGGTGTGTCGCCAGATATCCACTGTACTTGCCTTGTCTGCTTCCCTATTGACTAAATATTCCTTTCTAAGCGGTAAATGACTCTTATAAAAAGCAAGATTCTTACTCTAATCCCATTGAAGATACTTTAATGCAAATCACATAAATTGTCTCAGAATAGATAACAACTTAATATTTTGTACTTTATACTGTGGATTCCATACACCAGAACCACATATGTATGAGGGGATTAACAAAAGTTCGGCCAGTTGGTGACTTCCAATTTTTTTTTTGGTAAATCTAAACATACCAAATCCTTTGCAACTACTCTATTAGTCTTTCTTTCAAATTTTAGAACGATCAGCTCAAGTGAAGACGAGCAAACGCAAGATAGCTGAGGATAGATCAGATTAAATTCCCCCACCAACCCAAACAGGCATTGCGCATGTGAATCTTTTCGGCTTTCGGCGTAATTTACAATAAAAATATTCAGTGAATGTCAAATTGCATACGGAACGATTGCACCGCCTTTGAAGACTATTTCTAAGTAGTTCCGAAGATGCCAGGCCAGACATTTTTCCGTAGAGCACGAGCACCGAGAAGGGAGACCAAAACCTTCCACTTCTACGACACTATAGCTCTGATGAAGTCCAAAATTGGCGAAGACCCACGATTGACACAAGAGATGATTGCTAATGAATTGGCTTTGAATGCCATGGCTTTATCGCAAATATTAAGTAATCATCTGGGATACACGAAAAAGTCTGCGCGTTGGGTATCACGAATTTTAAATGAGGCCCAAAAAAAGGCTCGAGTGTGTTTTGCGCAATTCTTCCTCAACAAATTCGAAAATAGTCAGTCTAGCAACTTTAGTAAAGTCATTACTGATGAGGAGTCTTGGTTTTATGACCACGATTCAGAAACCAAACAGCAGTCTATGGTATGGAGCCCAACAGCAGCAAGCCCGTACGTAAAATCTAAGCAACAAAAATCAGCAGCAAAAGCAATGATGTCAGTTTACTTCAATCGAACCAAAATCGTAGCTGCTATTTCACTGAAAAAGAGTCAGACGGTAACTGCAAAAGGGTACGCTGAAGAGTCCTTATCAAAAGTTTTCAAAACACTGTTGGGATACAGGAAGAAAGATTATTTATGGCACTACTTTTTACATCATGACAACGCGCCATGCCACACTGCTGAGATATCGAGTAATTTTATTGCGATCTCTGGGAGCGAAGAAATACGACCAGCACCAGATTCCTCGGATATAGCAAATTCTGATTTTTGGGTATTTCCAAAAATTAAAAAAAGATTTTAAAGGAAAGCTCTTTAATGGCCACGAGGAGATATTTAAAGCGGTTAATGCTGAGCTTGATAAGCTCAAAAATCAAGATTTTGAAGACTGTTTTCAGAAGGGGATCTCTAGGCTTAAGAAATGCATTGAAATAAATGGCGTTTATGTGGAGTAGATAGAAAAAGAAAAAGATTGTAAATAAATACAAAAACAATATTTTTGCCTGGTCAACTTATCGAACTTTTTTTAATCCCCTCATATATTCCAAGCTAGGCCTAAAGAGAGAGATATCTTAATTCTGAAGAAAGTTTGAAGTGCCCTTTGCCCTTCGTTTTATTAAGACCACAATTTTTTTGGGTTCTAAAATTTAGCTTATCTGCATAAATAAGGGTCTTAGAGTGATGTACAACACCAGGCAGATCACTGATGAGTATAAGCAACAATAGAGAAGCTAAATGATTGCCCTGCGGAACACTGTGAGTCATGGAAATTTTCCGAAGAGATTTTATCAATAGCACATTCCTACCTATCGAGCTTAAATTTATCGTCTCTTTAAGTTTATCTAGATATTTTAGACCACTATTATTGGGTTCATGCAAAACGAACTTTGAAAACACGACACTTTCATATGTTTGTGTAACGATCATACTCTTTCCGGCAGCATTCATTTTTCTGTCCCTCTTTTTTGTGCCAAAAACTAGTTGCTGAGAGCTTTTAAAAAAATATGTTATTTTCCTTTTCCTAAGTAATTTAGAGCAGCATATGAGCAAATCTGTAGCTGTTCAGTGTAACTGGTAAGTGGAACTACGATTTTCCGCGATCAGTGTCAGGTTTGGGACAGCCCGAACTATCTCCGGTCTGCTGGATTTTTCGATTATCTATCAGTTGTGCTCCTCGGTTCTTTAGATGGGAAGTGGGTAGCTCGTCAAAAAGCTCACTATGTACATTATATATAAAGTTTTCAAAAGTATGGTGAAATTTCTTTTTTAATTTAATTTAAATTCTATCTTATCATCTTCAAAATAGTCTTTCTTAGATCATAAAGAGTTGTTCTTTCTTGTTAACTGGAAAAAACGGCAAAGGGTCAAATCTGGTGAAAACGATGGTTGAGGGGTTTATTTTTAAGAACAAATCTCTCCATACGGGCTTAACTGATTCCTGTGTGTCGATTGAATCCCACAATAAAATTGTTCTAACAAAAAAGTTCAAAATACATTAGTCTCGAATGAGTTCTCTCATTTTGAATGACGATAACGAGAAACGTATTAAGGACCTGGAATGCTAGTCGCCTCGTTTGGAGAGTATGAAATTCTAGTAAAAAGGCACACAAATATTTCCGCCAAGTATGAATAGGAAATCTATTAGGTTTCCTGTTAAGACCAAGCTAATTGAGCGGGAACATGTAGGAAGCCAGACTCGGGACAAACTATCACGGAAGAATACGTGAACATTACTAGGATTTCGGCTCCCACGGAAGTAGAATGTAACGAAAAGACGATAAGCTGGCTTGCAGTGGTGCCTTTCCAAGATAGGGGGCAGAACCAAACTTTTCTGTAGCAGCATGGCTTGCCGACTGACGAAACTGTTACTAACACTAAGTAAAAGCAAGTAAGATAGTATAGATTACTATCCTTGTGGGTGTCTGGATGGAATTAACAATATCCCGCCATTCGTTCCTTATTTCAGTTAATCGGCGCCAATTGGAGGCACCAGGCGAAGCTAGGTCCTCCTCCACCTGCTGCTTCCTCTTCCTCTACTTCCTTCCTGAAGGTACTGTTTTCATCCAACGTGGTCGCTGTCTTTTAATTCGTTGAATCAAGAGTCAAGGCCACTGTTCACTCGACTGGGATATTCGGCTTTGCATACACGGCTTTGTATACACGGACAGGATCATAAGTACGTTTGAAAATATATATAGTAGGGCGGGAATGATGAGTTTGGTATTTGTTAGCCGAGTTTGTTTGATAATAGGAGCTATTTCCTCTTGCCCTTATTTACTGCCAGACCCATTCGTCTGGTTTACCTATTCACTATAGAGAAATCACAACTTACGGTACGACGGTACACCTTCCTCGGAGATATTATTTTCAAAAACTAGGTAAGCTTAAATTAGCTGAGTACAGAGCATGCACCGAAGAGAGCGAATCTTCGGAGAATAAACTTTGTGATTGGCCGGCCTTCAACGAACTGAGGCATCATAAATTCCTCGATGGCCAAGTTTCACTCTTTACGGTATAGTTAGCTTAGCCGGGGTGCATAATGACTTAAGCGCGGATGCCCAACATTAAGTCTTTCCGCTCTCTTAATTAACCAGTCAAGATATGGTTTGAAGGGAGTAACGTGAGAGATTTTTTTTTAAATAGAACAGAAGATTTTGATTTGTGTTGAGAAAGCATCAGCCGCTGAAGCAGACTGGATAGTGTGTGTATGGCTGTCATTGACCCAGCCTTCCTCAACTACTCTGAAGTTCGTCCACAAATGAAATATAAAGTCCTCTCCAAGTGAAAAAAGATATTTAGGAGGACGGAGCGTGCGGCATACAGTTTAATGTACGATGTCTTCTGACCGTGGGATGACCATGAGAATAGCCAGAGCGCTCTACACTACAATTTTAAAAATTTTTGTTTTATCAGCTCGTTTTTGGTAAAATGGGAAAGATCAACTAGAGAGGGATTGGTGACAATTGGGTTCGGTTACTCACTGTGGGTTAAGGGTTCCCGAATTTATTCGCGACGAGGTATGCCAGTCGTATGAGCTGAATAAAATGTAATATTTCTCACAACTGTGAGAACATTCCACCGGAACGCCTCGGACTCGACAAAGAGCTCACACTTTTCAAAACCAATCTGAGGACTATTTTTGAGCTACAACATCCACACGCAACCCACTTTTTCTCGCGCCGAACATAGTTTTAGCTTCACTTCAGTGACTTACCTGTTGGTGAAAGCGGTAACGTTGGCGGTACACGTGGCAGCGGCGGTGGTGGTATCGCCGACGGCTGACCAATACCTTGCGGCGCTAAACTGGCTAAAGGAACATGCGATTGTATTGGAAGCGGTAGCGCTGTGACGCCGCCGGCGGTTGTAGGCAATGAGCCGCCCGCCATAACTGGAATCGCAGATAATGTTTGTTGTTGTTGTTGTGAATGTAAATTTTGTGCTGCTTGTGGAGATTGCCGTGGTATTGGTACTGGTACCGGTGAAGGTGGCGATTCCATGCCCACTCCCGCACTGACACTATTCAACAAATTATCACTTTCATGCAAACTGTTTGTCACATTTGACGAGCACATTTGTGTAGACGGAAGAAAGGGTGCGTATGTCAAATCAAAACATGCCGCATACAGCGTGCAAACGGTCACACATCACGAGCTGCGAACTGTATACTCAAAATATGACATTTTTGTTAAGAAAATACTTTTTAGTTCTCAAGTGCGCCGACGGTAACTGAGTTAACCCGCTTCAATCAGGCTGACCGAAAAAACTCGACCCGAGTCCTTTATTGCACACTGCAACTTCCGTTTCCTGCGCAAATTTTGCGCTGCATCAGCGAAAAAACGTACGAAAAAAAGAACACAAAAAGATCTGCTGTTTTGCGCGCCGTCGGTTGTTCTTTCGTTATTCGCTTTATCTTTCACTCGTACGCTCGTTTCCACTTTGCTTCGGCTGTTAGTTATCCGAGTTGTTACATCGAGGTGTTAACTCGTGGCGCGTCCGTAACGAATACTAATAATGAAGGGGCAGGTTCCACCGCTGTCGCCGCCACTGCCGCAGTCATCGGCCAACTTAACCGACCGGCTCACTCAACATCCACATCCACATCCACATTGAGTTGAGTGGAAAAGTCGTCGTGAGTTCAGCTTGTATTTGTTCACTTTATCGCTTGAGTGGGATCTAATTAACGACGGAAGAAAGTCAACAGCAGCAGTGTTGGTGCTGGTGGTGTGCTGCGAGCTGCGCGCTGCGTCGGGCGGTGGTGGTAGCAACTTGTAAGTGTTTAAAATGCAAATTAGGAAAATCATGCGTTTGCTTTGCTGCTGTCTATTTGTTGTTTGTATGGACGTGTGTTTGCATTTTTATGTTTTTGTTCTGTTGTTTTTGGATTTTAAGCCCAGCGAACAAGGTGACTTGTTGTAATCCGTTGGGTGCATGTGTGCGAACGACACATATATACATACATATGTACGTACGTATAGCTAACCGAAATTACATGGGTACTTGCGCTTGTTTACGTACGCAGGCCCTACCGTGAAAGTGTGCGGTCTCTTCGTTGCTCAGATGGGGGAAAGCAGAGATTAAGCGACGAGTTGCAGAAAATTGTTGTGATTAATGAAAGAATAATGGAATACACAGTTAAAAGATGCAACCGGGTCTTCTGTCATCAAGTCCCCGCCAAGCAAACTCTTAGAGAATGTCGAAAATCAAGATTCTTCTGACGGCAGATGCACCTCGGATTAAGATTTCCGCCTTAAGGTGCCATGGATATACATATTATACCGCTGAAGCGATTTACGGACGAGCTCCTTCTCGAACTTCTGGTGGGCGATGTTTTTCCAACAAATGGAGGGACCTACGGCTTACTCTATAGAAGGAACTTTTATTTTATATCGGAAACTCTCTCGGAGGGCTTGAAATTACCAGCTGAGGAGCGAGCAGAATTAGGGAAATTAATTTTCTCTAATTTTGAATTTTGGTCGGACTACAACTCGAGCTCTGCTAACTATTCTGCTCTTGCGGCCACCGCCATGAGTCGCATTCCCTCGGTATGCTTTGAACTCAGACAGAAAATTAATCAGAAAAACCCATCTTAGTCTTGTTATGTGGACATTTTCTTCTATTGGTCTCCGCACTTTCGGGCTACGACTTCTCTTTTACCCAGCCTGCAAATGCATCCCGCTCTCTCTACACTTCGGCTAGCGAACTCTGTCAGCGGTACGTAAGAAAATGAAGTCTTAACCTACAATCTACTATAAGCATAGTCAGTTGGCTGAAGTTTGAGGTTATGTGATTCTGTGGGTGGCGTAGAAACTAGTCGAGATATCTGATCAATTTCAGCTTTAGGACGACCAGGGCTTAAAGCAGGGAAAAAAGAGTATAACTCTTCTGCGAGGAGACAGTAATTTGAGCCAGATCGGGGTCCACTGATTATGAGCGCATCTAAAATGTCAAACCAACATGAGTGATCTAGTTTTTGGTCGCTCAATGCCTAAACAGTCAAGTGCCTTGATGGATTTTACTTGATGGAAATCTGTTTATAACAGACCGAGGCCTGGCGAAGGCGATCGCTTAGTTCATTTTCAAAGGTTTTGACAGGGTAATTGAATTTTTTCAGCCGTAGTGTCTCCCTTGCTCATATTAGTATTGAAATAATCAAGCAAGCTTTTTACTAAGCAATTGAGGAAGCATGGAGCTGTGTCCTTTAGCCGTCGTCTTTTCATCCGTCGAACTACAACTACGGTTTGGATTCCGGCGCAGTGAAGGATTGTCTGGTATATAGGGTTCCTGTTCTGTTCTGGGTGGCCGAACCGGACGGAGCTGCTCATCGCAGATATTGTTGTAGCCAACCCCTAGCCCTGTATCTGTATCATGAACTTTCTTCTTGATGTGATCCCTTCATGGAACCCTAGCTGGTACTGCATGCAAGACGTAGTATTATGCTCCTTAACCGGAGCACCCCAGCGCGGTGAAGTTCATGTGCAGATGAATCCAGATAGGTGCTGTTTAATTTATGACTAAACGGCCCATTGTCTTCGGAGTTGCTAGGGAGTATAGGCTATTGAAAATGACACTCTTAGGAACTTTGGTTTATAGATCATTTGTATCTTAGCGTTATAACCTTCGACATTCAGATCTAGCTGGAAGACCTCCGTGCTTTGCTGACTAAAAGAAGCTAAAGCTCATTGGTAGTTATGGATAGTGGTGATCCTTAACTTGTTTGTAATGAAGGATAACCCATCTGGTGGCTATTTAGCCTTACAATCATGTAGCACCAAGTCGGTAGCAGTTGCAATATGTAAGGTAGCGATCAAAAGACTGCCTGAAGCCATAGGACGTAGGAGTATCGCAGGCAATGATATAGCAGATGAACTAGCTAAAGAGGATGTCGTCTCAAAAGTAGAAATACCAGTTCCATATAGGAAAGTGAAGCATACGGCACACATAAGAACCGATTTCGTTTTGTCAGGCGAACAGACCTTGGGAACGAGCAAAGGACTGCAGTATCGATTTAAGGTACGGGTCTCACACAGACGATAATACATTCATAGTGTTGCCAGGCACAGGACATGGGACCTCCTATTGTGCCTCTAGTGCGAGGAACATTGAAGAACTTAAGTAGTCGTTCTGGCCTCTTGGCCCTTGCTGATTGCAGATCAGGACATTCACAGACTACGTGCTCCACTGTCTCCTTGCCTTCTTTCCTACACTCGTTGTCCGCAATCAGACCTATCTTAAACGCATGAGGCGCTAGAAGGCAATGCACCTATCAGCAGAATGGTTGTCCGTACTACGAGACAAATTGATGTTCGAGGCATACCCAAGTCGTGGATTTCAAGTCAGAGTTATAGCCCGCAGATATGGGTTTGGTCTTCGCTGTTTAGCTCTCTTCGGCAGACGGTTATTGTCTACCCTGAATATAAGTTTTGGACTCGCTGGAACGTAAGTGGACTATATTTTAAGCATTCTTTCTTAGTATTTTGACACTGAATTTGCCATATTGTTTTAGAACTGCGAATTCAAACTAATAAATTGAGCTACAACCGTTGTCAAACGTAATGAGGTGGAGCCGAGCTGCTCAAAACAAATTGACGATCCTTTTTTATAAGTCAAAGTGAATGAACGAAGTGTGAGAGCAAAAAAAAAACTCATAATCATAGGAAGACATCTTACTACTAACTAACAAAATTACTAAATATCAAAATATACATACGTACATATGTATGTAGATCATCGAGAGTGAGAATGTATGTGATTAAGTTGATGAATATTGACAAATGACAGCGCCAATCGTAATTATAACAATGACATTAGTGATACATGTAAAGTCTTGTATGTATGTACATATATATGTAAAATACACACATACATATATATACAAACTAAAATGCCATAAATGACAGTGATAGGGTTGAGCTAAGCAAAAGTCAAGCAAAGGCAAAGCTTAGTAGTCATTAAGTTGTTGAATGTGTCCAGTTTTGTTGGTTCGAAGCCATACATACATACGTACATATATACTCGTACAATGTTTGCAGTTATATATGCATGAATATACATACATATAAATGTATTTATGCAAGTAAATTATAGTGATTTGCATACTAATTAAATGTGCTCGTATATAAATATATATATGCATATATAGATATATACATCTATGTGTACATATATAAATGTATGAATGTACGGTGTGAATATTCATTCAGCTTTTCATTAATATTTGAACAAATAATAGTCTATTATTTTGATGGAAAGTCATTTTCTTCAAGTCAAAACTAATTTATACTTTTTTTTCATTTTTTTATTATTTTAAATTTGTCTTTTGTGAAGAAAAAATAAAATTATGCAAAAATTAATTAATTCGGTTTTTTTTTGAGGTTAGTTTTGCCTCTACCTATGGTTCCTACAACGACTGTTGCGTAGGCGAAAACCTTAGCACCAGGCGCTGCTGTTTTTATTAATGCGGTCTTGGTCCCATAAGTGTAAGGCTTGTAAGGCTTTAACCCACCTAAATCAATATCTCATATGTGGCTATTTTTCCGGTGCTAAATACTTTCAGTATTTTGTCAAGGAATCTTTATTTCGCTATTGTGTGCTGAGCGTAGTCTTCAAGGGTCAGAAAATTCACAAAGATGCACCACGGACATTGTCGAGTTCGACCACTGTACTGTTTCGTTTACCCAAGAGCTGAAGATTGCACCAAAACCGTTTGCAACTAATTGATTAAGGCTGGATAGGAAAAGAAAACTTGATGTATGGGTGCCACACGAGATAAACGGGATAACGCAAAAAAACCTCATGGACCAGATGGAAATCTGCGAATCACTGCTACTATATGCTCCTCCCATACGGCAAAACTCGGAACTGTGCTGTCAACAATTGGATCTGCTTCCTTCAGACGGTCTATCGCCCAGAAACGGCCAGCTTTAGCAAATAGAAGAGGAATTGTATTTCATTAGGGCAACGCCAGGCCAACCCATACCGTAAGTGCCTCGTCAAAAGCTCTGGAATCTTAGTTGTGAGACTCTTATGCATCCACTCTATAGTCCGGATAGTGATTACCATCTGTTTCTGTCCTCCCGTTAAATGACCTTGGTGATTTAGAATAATTAGCTTGTCTCTAAGCGGGCAAGTAGGCATATATAAATCCCCACAACAACAGCAAAGTTCCGAATTTTTGAAATCAAAAGCAACTGAGGCAGCCGATTTCACCTCCTCATCGTTTTACAACTCCTAAGGCATTTACTATAAGGATTTCACGCTCTTTCAGCACGTCGTCTCTCCTTTTATGAGAACACGTAATCTTTTATTATATTTCGAAGAGATTTGCCGAGATTTCCAGTTAGTTATTATGAGGTTCCATGCAGAATAAATTCTTAGAGGAGACCCTTACAAATGCCATAAGTGATGTCCTGCAAGTTTGTTCGCCTTACAGTCTCCCTCGATGTGTTTGTGATCAGGGACTAATGTGTGAGGTAATTCTCTCACCAGCGAATCCTTTAACAAATCATGTAAATTAAAAACTTTTAACATTTGTTTCAATATACATATATCTACATGTGCACATACATACATATGTATATTCATTTATAGTGTATATGTGAAAGTAGTGACAGCTCAGGTGGAGAGCGCCTTAGCAATTACTATTGCTTGTTAGGGGCTCAAGAATTAACCCATGGTAGGGCATACTTGTCTTAAGAGGTGACTAAAATCCAATAGTTCGCCGGGCACGGATTTTTATCAGGCCAAGGACTGTCACACGCGCGATATTCTTCGAAAACCAATTCGGGGAATATTTTTGTGGTTACGACAGAAATTTTCGAAATCGATTTGCAGTTTGCGGCGAACATATCCTTCCTTCCAAATATTTTCCAAAAACGCTGGTAAATAATGTAAAGCAACGCCATTTTCTTCATTGCTATCACCTTCAGAGTGCGCGGCCCACTATCGGCAGCTTCGCTTCACGGACACCCATTAAGCCTTCCATAATGCTTTTGCCCTGAACTTATTTTAGTTTTAATTTTTGGAAAACTTTTAAAGCGATTAATAATTAGTTATTGGCGACTAATTGGAGGCACCGGAAGACGAATTCATAAACCGCTTAAAATTTTGTGCAGCCTTTCATTGATTTCGCCACAAAACAGCGCCGGAGAATAGTGATTACTAGGGTTGTGGTTGCATAGTTGTATTAAGTGATCTATGACCTTTTCAACGTGGGTAGTAAGGACTCGCGCAGTCACATTCATGCTTTGCTATAAACTTGATATTTTTAACATTTAATTATGAATTTGTTGACAGAACAATAAAAGCGTTTATTTACATATATTAGCCATTTATACACTTCTCTTAACGCAATAAATAATTAATAAATTGAACTTATTCAAAAAATACATATCAATTTCCATTAAAATGCAGTCAAAACCCGAATGATAAATGTAAGCGAGGAAAAATTGCACCACTTTTGTTTAATATTTGGCGCTCTTCTTCTTACAGTGTGTGCTGTTCACCATGCATAATCAAATGTCAAAATTGACCATAAAAAATGAAGTTTTGCTTGTACATATTCTTATGAGGTATTGATATTTAATTAGCTAAACAACAATAAACAAAATTATGCTGCAACAACGACAAGAAATGCAAAGAGAGAGGGAGAAAGAATCAGTGCTCAATGCGCGCCGAACATCGAACGTAACAAACTTATCATCATCCGCGATAAAACAAAATGTCGACGCGCTTAGTGGAGAGGAAAAGAAAAGAAAAAAATCAAAATAACTAAAAGAAAATAACAAAAATCACTAAACAACAAAACATATGCACATATGTGTATATATATGTGTGAATAAATACTAAAAAAATAACTCAAAAACTGTGATTAAAAATATTGCAAATTAAATAAAAGCAAACATTTTTTAAAATCACTCAAAAACGCGATCCATTTATGCATATTAAATTTAATTTTTAAGTCACTCAAAGGTATGAGCAACTACAGTGCACTCACTCAATTTACTAGTGCATTGATTGAGCTTACCTACTTTGAAGCAACGCGCGCTCTAAGCCGGTTTGATGAGCCGTTTAGTAATAGCTAAGGAGGTGTGGCCAAGCTTTTGGTGCGCTATTTGCGCTGCTTACACATGCAGGCATTTAATATAAAGAGAAATGTAGTTGGTTCTCGCTCTTTCCAGTCTCACATTAATTGGCCTGCAAAGCCGGTTATGCCTGTGCATGAGTTACCAACAGTGAGTTGGCTTGTACATACATATGTATATATATAAAACATATGTATGTACAAGACCCTTCCAGCGCCTTCCAGCGTTTACTAGCTAGCGTGTTATTGGTGTGCCCTGACCACACTTACTTGCTTTTTTGCGTGCAAACGCGCTATAAACGCGAGCTGCAAACCGCTAACGCGAGTGCCTAATCGTCATTTGCCAATTGCCATAGCGGCTCGACCAATGATTAGGCTTATTGCTGATTAATTAAATTTTTTTACTAAACAAAAATTATTAAACGATGTAATAAATGATGGATGTGTGTGCTTGCGTGCGTGTATGTGTGTGTTATCGTACATACATATATTTTATGATGGATGATTGACACTGACAGCAACAGCAGCGGCAGCGGCAGCGGCAGCAGCGAGGGCCTATTAAAGCTACTATTAATAATCAAACGTTTGCAGTTGAGTTGTGTGCGGGGTGAAGGGTAGAATAGCAGCAGGCGGAAGAAGAAAGCGCGCTAGCGTTCTACATGGCTTGCGTGTATTGGTTGCGTAGCGGCATTTTTATGAAACTCTACATTAAAAATATAATTTTTTTTTTTGCATTTCAATAATTCTCACTTCCCTTGTTTTCGGTTGCGGCGAGTACAAGGTGGTTTTGTCTAAAGAGCTATGTGAAAACCTTCTTACTCTTTGCGCACCGCCCTACACATGGCTTCACCTATGGCTGACCACTTTCTTTCTCCAGCTCCTCTACTTACTCCTGCTACTCCTCCTCCTCCTCCGCCTGCCGTCTGCCGTCTGCCTGCTGCCTCTTTTAATTATTTAAATTGAAGTTTTCGTTTATTTTCTTTTCATGTTCGAATTAATTATTGCTTCGCGCTCGTGCTTGCGCTCCCTTTGCCATCGAAACCACTATGATCGAGTAGTGCAAAAACAACAACAAAATATGTAATTCTACATTAGAAAGAAAAAAAATACAGAAAAAACAACAGAAAATAGGGAGCAATGTAGTGAAATTAACCGTTGACTGCCGCAATCCTTCGGCGATAGATATCTTCCGCATTTCACTCGCTAGCTATCTACATACATACATACATACTAGCTACTGGCATATGTATTATTATAATTTTGTTGTTGTTTGTAAATATTTTTCACAGGAAAATGTTATTTCAACATGTTTTGGGGGTAAATATAGCAACAAATGAAAGGAAACATGTAAATAGCTAATAAATTAAAAACTTACATACAAACATACCTACATAATTAGTACATACATATGTATGTTTGTAAGTACGTATATGTACATACCTCGCATTTAAGCCAAAGGCCCTTAAAAGTGCAGAGCATGAAGCGCGTAGAAAGGTAGGCTGCTTGTGTGAAACGCCATTATTCGTTGAGCTTCCACCTCCTTTGACTTCCTTTTTGGGCGAGCGTGAATTGGATAGATAGTTGTGGTATATAAAGGTTATGTACATATTTTAGTGTGGCACACTCGTGCACATCTTGGCACTTACACGTCTACGTACATATCCTCATAGATATATATATATATACACGTACATATGTATATTTATGGTGCTTTATAAACGCTGAAGCGATTTTTGGCCGAGCTCCACCTTAAATTAGAGATTTTGCGTTTGGGTGTTTTTAAAACAAATGAAAGGACCTTCAGTTGGTGGAGGAGCTCGGCGGAAAATCGCTTCAGCGGTTACAAAGCACCAATTACATATGTATATATATATACATATAAGTAGGGTTCGCCGCCTCGTGGTTTTTGAAATTCATAATCGCAACAATTCCTTAACGGAGTTGATTTTTGATTAACTGATTTAGTTTATTTTGATCATTGGGCTGGTGGCTGAGCTATTCTTTCCCCTGATTATATGGAGCTGACATTCAGCAGAAATGTCTGGTGGGCTAATGGCGTGACTGACCCTCCCGTCCTGTTCAAACATTGAAAACCTCAGGATACTTTCTACTTTGCGTTGGTTGGCTCTGAATGTATTGTCCCATAAGAGCATACGTCAACTCACGCCTTGACATTCTTTGATACCACCTTTGAACTGCAGATGGCTACTACCTTTCATGTTAGCGGCTCTAAATGGAAAACATTTAAGAATGCTGCTTCTGGGGACGTCAGTGTAGCAGAAGTCTGTTAACTGCGAACACTTTGTAAGCAAAACCGCGTTCAACTGAGGATTTGATGCATAAGAGGAAAAGTTAACACCAGGGAAAACTTGCCATCAGGGTCAAAGGGATGTTTGAGAACTTTTTCTAAAGCTCTAAAGGCTGGGCTTAAAGGGCAGGCATTTTTCACAGGTAAGGCTCATTCGAATCGTCGAATGACCACCAAGTTCTTGGCTTGCTTACACCGAAGCGTGTTTAATGAGTAATTGTCCGACCCGCACAAGCGTACTCGCGGCGGTCAAGCACCAGAGATCAGCAGACTGAAACACTTTACTCTTTAAGAGGCACAATAACAAGCTGCAGCACAATTTTTAAGCTGGCTGATTCTGACGACACAGATAGAGGCAGGAACAAGATGGGGCGACATATCACAAATTGCGGGTACGCGTTGAGGTAGGGTCTAAGATTTGTTCATGAACGTGGCCATGGAAAATTTACGGCCACTTCCAAAGCACGAAAGTGTTCGGTTGGCAACAAGGGTTTTCTTACGCTGGAGTATATTTTGGTCCTCAGAACAGTCCGCAATGTTAATGTACAAAAGGATATCCTAAATTTTAGCGTATGTTGTGGTTGAATCTCTTTGTGTTTTTTGGATATAATTTGGAGTAAAGGAAAACTACTAGAAGAGCACTTTCTTAAGTCCGTATCCTGTATCTCTGAGTTATCCACCGCTGCATGGTGCCTCACAGGAAACACGGCATATCTACTTGTGGCGTGGCAACATGACTGGACTGGATGTAAATAAAGCGAAATTCGGAATAGCTCTTTTTACAAGGAGTAATAGACCAACATCTTCAAAACCGTCCAAACTCAAAGAAATGGGAATCAATCCCTACCGAAGTCAAATGTCTCACTATAATCTTAGAGAGTATTGGAGCCAAAGTATGGCAGAGAGGTCAAGGAAAGCGACCATTGTCAAAGTCTGATATTCAGCACTAAAAAAAACACTTTTAGGAGCAAACTAGACAAAGTTCAACGGTCGGTAGCTACCTTCATTATGGGAGCTCAACCGAGAACTCCTTCAAAACGTGTGGAAACTCTTCTCAGTTAACTTGCCTTGTGTCTTTATGGCGATCCCTAAGCAAGCTGAAAAGCATTTACAATGTACGCGACTAAGGTCAAGCCCAGATATTGACTTTCGCACAATTTCTAGCTCAGTTGGTCACGGCCACGCTATTGTTTTGACAATCTCGTCTCCACAAGAGACCAGAACAGTAATGAATTCCAATGCTCTCTGGATATGTGAGACATAGCCAAAGATCGATGACAGAGTGGGCTGAAACTAGCCTTCACCAAAAAAAGTAAACCAGATGGCTTAATGAAAGAACTTCTAATGCAACTAGACAACTTTGACCCTTTCACCACTGAGTAAATGTCCGTCTTCCTATGCTCCTTTTGTTAAAATAAAAACGTTGAATTTATGTTTGAGTGTTAAAAACTCTATTTCCAACTAACAAACAATGCCATGAGCACCCACGATTCAATGAACGCGCCTCAATGCCTGAGTGCCTCCCAGCCATATTTATTAAATCGTTCGTTCGCCTGTGGCAACGAGGGGTGGTCCGAAAAGTTTTAGAAATTGAAGGAAAAATATAGTAAAAATAAGGGGCGCCAACAATGTTTTATGGATGGACTAACTGAAGTGGGCTTGGAGTGGGCCGAAGAAGAGCACGACACAGGATGACAACCATTGAGGCAATACAGGAGACAGCATACAGCATATTCGGAGTAGTAGTGGTAGAAATGAATCTCCACAGATTTGAGAGCAAACGTTCACTGAGTTAAGTCAGGAGCTTTTTGTTTCCTGTTAGAAATATACCCAGTGAAGGCGAGCAGAAATTACCAGCGAGGTCAAGTTTCTAAACATAAAATTGTCAAGTAGAAGATCTTCTGCGAAGAAAGATTTGCTTTCTTCGGGCTTATCCCTCTACTAAGTCAAAGACGACGTGAGATCGTCGTTTAGAAGTATAAAATGCAGTCACCGCCGTTAATATTCTGACTGTTAATAATCCAAGCGAAAAGTGAGGTGGAGATAATGCAACCCCAGACCTGCGAAAATATCGCACTGTGGGCCATCATGGCGGGATACCTCCCGATCGCGCTGCACAATAGTGCTACGTTCTAGTCAAGGGACCGACGCCCTACAGATATGTCTCAAAAGCCACTCAGAGAGAGCTATCCACATTCTCGTCGTGTCCAGTAATTCGAGCAACCATGAATCGGTTTCTCACCACGTTTACTCTGGTAAATAATGTGCATACTCAGAGACGCCGTGCAGTGGGCACCGAAGACACTTGCTGCTGGCGAGCAGATTCGACGCGGGCAACAATTGGAGATCCACTTAATGGAAGATCTTGCGAAACGATCTTGTTTTGGGAGCTTACAAAA